GGGGCGGGGGGCGTGTGGGTGTCTGTTTATTATCGAGGGGGACATCCATCCAGCGCCGGCTCCGCCGCCCTTTTATGACGACAAGACGCGGCCTTTATCACCCTCCCCTCATGTCATAGCGGCCGCCTCCAGCCTCCAGCAGCCTCCAGCAGCCTCCTCCAGCCTCCAGCAGCCTCCAGACGCCCCCGCCAGCCCACAATAGGGCCAAGCAGCCTCCAGTCCACAGCCTCCAAGCAGGCCTACACTACACTTATCAACCTCCAGTAGCCCCCAAGAGCCACAGGCAGGCCACCCCTGGGAACCTCCGGCAGCCTCAAACAGCCTCCTGGCGGTTACCCCTGTCAGCCTCCAGCAGCCTCCGGCTGAGGCCGCCCGTGCGCACGCAGCCGATGAATGGGAGGAGGGCTCAGAGGGACGGCGGCGTGCTAAACGGTCGTATCGTTATTACTACACTTTATCGTCGCCGTCCTCTGTTCATCCCGGGCCCGGGCCGCCGTGACGGGGCCGCCGCAGCCGCCGCAGCCGCCGCAGCCGCCGCCAGGGCCGCGCAGAGACGTCTTGCTGGCTTAGTGGGCTTAGTGTCAGCGAGCCGCGCTGCGAGTTGCTTTGCGCCCCGGCAGCAGCCCCGGCAGCAGCCCCGGCCGCGGCGCGCGGGGATGGCGGGGATATAACCTGTTTGAAGCGACCACCGACCTCCCGCCAAGCGCGAAATCGGACAGAGAATAGGATATTCTGTGAGTAATGGAGTACTAAATCACTGCGGGCGCTGCCGCTCCTCCTCCGCGCCGCGGCCCCGGGTGTTAAACACACACAAACACACTCGAGCGCGGCCGGCCCGTCCAGTCCGGCGGGTCCCGACGCACGGTACGTATAAATATCGAAATAAGCGGGAGGAGCCTCGAGGCGCGGAAAGGGGAGGCCCGGTGAGGCCCGCGCGCCCGCGCCTGCAAGGGGCCGTGTCGTGTTCGGACCGCAGTGTTTGGTTTATACCACGTGCCGCGGCTGTAAAGTGTAAACTCGTTGGCGCACCGGGCGGCCCGGCCCGGCCCGGCCACACCGATATGGTACCGCGCTGTAACACCAAAGGGCAACGCACCTCGCGGCCCCCTCCTCTCGATACCACACGCCTCACATTGTTGTCTGAAAATGCTGAAAATACTTCCCCACGCGAGCGTCGCCGCCGTTTTCGTCCATCCCATCCCAGACACCAAGGGGGGAAAGGGAGAGAGGGGGTTGAGGTGGGGGGGGGGGCGTCTCTCCACATTCGAAGGCGTCTTTGCCAAGTTGGCCCGGCAGGGGGCATTCACATCTCTGACATAACGCAGCTGCGCACGACCGGCGGGGCGGGAGAGCTGGGCGCCGCGCCGACCTCTGCCAATATGAGCTCCGACATGACTAACACTGACACTGACTTTGGCGCGCGCGGCGGGAGCTGCTGCTGCTGCTGGGGCGTCTGCTGAGGGCCGCCCGAAATATGCGCGGCGAAGGGCCTGGGACCCCGCAGCCCGCAGGGCGGGAGAGAGGGTCGCGAAGGGTGTTGAGGTAGGGCCCCGACAGTCGCAGCCCGACGCCCAGCCCAGACCAGCCCACTCTGCCTGCGCGCCCGTCGTCGCAGCAGGCAGACAAAAAGAAAGAGAAGAGAAAAGAAAACAGCGCGACCTATCAATAGCGTGTGGTGACGCGCATCGCATACATGACAAACTGCGCCAATATTCACCTCGCACCCGAAGCGAGCAGCGCGGGCGTGATGCAAGGCGACGCAGCGCAGCGCGGCCTGCAGGCGGCCTGCAGGACCACAACGACCGGCGCACGCACAGGAGGCGGCGATAATCAATCTTGCGACTCTTGCACTGCCAACAGCAGCAGCAGCAGCAGCCGATCCCTCCCTGCCACCTTATTCTTCTTATTACTTTACTTCGTCTCGCGTCTCCCCCTGGCGTGCCTCGCTCTTTTGCCACCTGACGTTTGACTGCCGGTGCAGCAAGCTCTCGCGCCGGTGCAAGAGCCAGCCCGAAGGCCTCCGACGACGATTTGTCACGACGACGTCGGCTGATTATCAGCTGCAAGCGACACGGGGGCAGCCCGCTGCGACGCGTGTGGCTGCGCCTGTCATCAGAGGGCTCCAGGACAACAGGAGACCCGGCTGCAGGCGGCTGCAGGCGGCTGCACCAGGCGGCTGCAGGGGGGCTTCCAGGCGAGCCCCGCAAGGCAAGGGGGCCTTGGGGCTCCCAGCATTCATTAATCAGCCAGGACCAACAAAGGCGCGATGCTGCTGCAGACGCTGCCCGGCGGGCGCCGAGGCGGGCGCGCCCGTCAACCGCACGACTGCGCGCAGTCAAAGCGCGAATCACAAACAGAAGCGTTGGTGCTCGCTGATATGCACTCTGTTTCTCGCAGCTAAATACCCGCCTTCCTTGCCTCCACCATACCTTCCTGCTTACACGACCCGTCAGTGCCCTGCAGACGTGTGCTCACATATACAACGGCCGTTTTGGACCGACAGGTTTCCGATGGCTAATTTTGTTGCATAAAACTCTGATAACGGTGTCGATTCGTGTTCCCCCGCAGCAACGGCAGCCGACGTGTGTTGCTTTCACCCACTCCAAGCAGCAGCGGTTTGGAAACGAGGGCTTCATTAATAACGACCTCGACCACAAAAAAATAAATAAATAGAAAGATTGCAGCTTCCACGCCGCTGACCTAGCGCCGCAGGTGGGCCGCGGGCGGAGAGCGTGGAGCGGGAGGAGGACCCGCGGTGGGACCTGCATGGTGAAATGAGACTCCTGGTGCAGGGCGTGGCGGGGCGTGGCGGGGCGTGGCGGGGCGTGGCGGGGCGGGGCGGGGCGGGGCGTGGCGGGGCGAGGCGGGGCGTGGCGGGCGTGTAATGGCAGCTGCACAACACAACCCGGCCCGCGGCCGCCCAAACAGCTGCAGCTGCGCCGATCAAGATAGGGCATCCGTGATTGATTTGTGGGTCCCGGGCCCTTCGCCTCGGCGGGGGCGACCAAAGAGCCGCGCTTCCGGGACCACTTCGCCTCCCGCAGGGGGAAAAAGTAGGCGCCCCAGGAGCGAGCGGGTAGCGAGTAGTATTCAGGGCTCCACTACTCGGGCAGCAGGGCGCTCAGGGTGTTGTCGGCGAGCACCCCGGCGGCGAACGCCACCACGAACATGGCGGCCGAGCCGACGTGCGAGCGGAGCCCCCCGGGGGGGCTGTCCTTGCCGCCGTGCTGGGCCTTGGAGCTGGCGCTTCCCGGCGAGGCGGGGCTGGCGGACGCGTCGCCCGGGGCGGCGGCGGCGGCAGCGCGACGCCAGGACCACCACGACGTCGCCTTCTCGGCGGTCGGCGGCGACGTCAAAGCGACGGCGGCGGCGTCCTTGGGTCGGTGGTGTCTGCGCGCCGCGTCCTCTGCCTGCCGGTACAGCTCGCGCCGCCGCTCGCGCCCCGCCGTCTCCTCCTCCAGCTGCTCCAGCCGCAGCTGCTGCCGCTCCATCTGCGCCTGAAGCGTCTCCCAGGTGCGCGGGCGCGCGGGAGCCGCCAGCTGCTGCCAAGTGCTGTAAAGGCAGCAGACACCGGCACCGGTGCTAATTTCGGATCGCGCGACGACGACCGCCCCTCGTCGGCGAAGACACGTCGGCGACCTCCGCGCGGGGGCGGCGCACCTGTCGTCGGCGGGGAGCTGCCGGGGGCGACGGAGTGCCGCGGGGGCGGGGAGCGGCGACGGCGTCGGGGACGCTGAGGCGGCGCGCACGGCGGCGAGGTTCAGCACGCCGGCGTACAGCTGCTCGAAGCGTATCCTGGCGGCCACCAGGTGGTGCTCGGGGCTGTCCGCTGCAAACCAAGGGTATAAAAGGGACTAAGGCACGACGCGCGACGTCCACGCGGATAAGGACCTCCACCAGCGCCAGGCGTAGGAAGAGTTACAGGACAACGAAATGCCCTGCCTCAAGCCCCCCCCCCTCCAACATCTCCCCGCTAAAGTCAGCGACCGGGCCGGGGCGGCGTCGAGGACCCGGGAACAGGAGGGGGAGGGGGACCCGGGCGGGGTCGGCGTACGGACGGAGAGCCAATGTCATGATATGTAATAATGAGTCAGAGAGCGTCGTCTCCTCTCCCGACGTCTGTTTGGTGCAATCATGGTGCAGCGCCCTATTCAGTGAGAGGGGGGGTGGGGG